GATAAGTTACTTGTATATGCCACATCTATGTGCATCTACGACTGCAGCTGCTCCTGTTGAGAAAGCTGTGTTGGGCGCACTACGAGACAACTGAGGCAAAGAGTTAATGAACATATCCCTTCGTGGGTAGGAAAAGATACTGTCAAGACAATACGCAGCTCGGCTCTATCACATTTGATCGATAGCGGTCATGTAGTAGACATAAATAGGTCACTTAAAGTTATTTATCGCATCTCTGTTTGCAACAAAGATGTGTTAGTTCAAACATCTGGATAGCAAGTATACAAGAAGTTATACGCTCAGCCTCCTCAGTAGATCGGTCAATAGAGCCAAACTTTCCCATCGGAACGGCTTGGAATGTATTTGGAAATCTGTACTTAAAAGTTACTGCACCTCACATCCATGGACTACACCAAGGGGTCCTAGAAACTCCCCACTATAGTTCAATAAAGAGGTTCTCAGCACTCGGCGTAAGAGAACAATGTACGAGATATTTAGGTCACTGAGTGCTAACGAGAAAAAGTTTCAATATCGAGGAGCTTAAAATATTTGTACCTCGACCCTCCGCAAGTCTAGAAGGTTGCATGAAAAAAAGTTAATTAATGGGCGAACAGAATATCCCAAACTCCTATAGTCATATATAAATCAAAGGACTAAGAGAAGAGGTGACATCCCAGCTTTATGGGGAGGCAGTAGTACTGCATCACTAGTGGAAGACGACTATGGTGAAGCTCAGGTACTCTTAAACTATTATAGCAATGCATATGCCGTAGAGACACCCTTCACTTCATTTCATACAAGCACCCCACACACATGTATACTGTGACCATAAATGAACTCGATGACTTTGGTCTGCTAAATAAGCTTGATATAAGCGAATCCACGGGACCTGATGAAATGCATCCTAGGTTATTAAAGGAACTAGAAAATTTCGTTGAGAACCCCTTAAGCATGTGTTTCGAACTATCTGCATCCCAGGGTCGATTACCAAACGACTAGAAGAACGCCGTAATAAGTCCTGTCTTCAAAATAGGTACTAAACATAAAGCTGAGAACTATCGACCGGTAAGTCTAACTAGCATGATTGTTAAAATTTTATAAAAGATTATTCGGAAGGCATTCTTGAAGTATCTCGACGAGAACTGGATGATTTCTGAAAAGCAGAATGGCTTTAGAATGGGTCAATCCTGTCTTACTAGCATATTAGTACCTTGTGAAAGTTGGTGCGCTCCTAAAGATCAGAAGTTACTTGTAGACGCAGCCTACATTGACTTCAGGAAAACTCTTGAAAAAATTCCCCATAACTGGCTACTATATATGTTAAGTAATATCGTGGTTGAATGCAAGTTAATAATGTGAATACAAGACTTTCTAGTTGGGCTTCAACAAAGCATAGGGGTGAACTCAAAGTTGTCTAGCCGGGAAACTGCGCTTAGCGGAGTGCCTCAGGGTACAGTTTTCGGGCCAATGTTGTTCCTCATGTATGTGAATAACCTTCCTCGTCTCCTATCATCATCGGTCTTGCTGTATGTTGACGATGTCAAGATACGGAGAGCGATACTGAGTATGGTGATAGTTTAGAGCTTCAAGATGACCTAGAGAAGTTTTCTGACATGTATAAAATTTTGCAGTTGCTGATAAATGCTCCCAAGTGCACTGTGGTACATATTAGTTACCAAGGTACTGATACATACATGGCAAATGACATCAAGCTACCTGTTGTCCAAACACGCAGCGACCTGAGTCATGGTTAGCCAAGACTTCAAAACTACTGCACACCGTCATGTGATGGCGGCCAAAGGTTTTAGAACCTTATGGTCAGTACACAGATCCCTTAGCCATGTCATGCTAAAAGGTTTTTGATTTTATATACAGTAATCGTTCGTCCTAAACTTGGGTAACACATATAAGCGGCTAGCCGCTGCCTTAAGTGAGACAGCGAGCTGATGGAAAAGACTCAACGAACCGCAACTAAGCTGATTCCAGGAGTCGAATAGCTCGAGTGTGATGCTCGACTGACGAAACTAAACCTATTCTCATTGCCATATCAAAGAACCAGAGGCGACGTAATCATAGTTTTTAGATTACTTAGAGATAAGTTTGAGTCTGATATGCTCTCGTTTTTCTCGTCTTCCAAAACAGAGAATTTATGAGGACACTTTAAAATGTTCACAAGCTCAGAACGAATTACTTGTCAACTGATATTCGACTTTCCCATCGAATCGTTACCGAACGGAATTCATTACCTCAACACAAAGTTGAAGCTCCATCTGTCAACGCTTCTAAAAGAAATTTGGATTGACTGAGAGACCACCATTTTCAGGACTAACACAGACCACATGGATGAAGGGTTGTGCAATTTCATGGATCGGTCGAAGTTAGACATCAACCCTATTGGATGCTGGGCCAGTGGTCTAGAGATTAAGCGTTCGTGCGCGAGACCGAAGGTCCTAGGTTCGAGTCACGCGCGTGGGTTCGTGGTTGCGCATTGTTGAGAAGTCCCATGCTAAGACGAAACGACCATCCAGTGCTTCCAGGTTTTCAGTGGTGGTCTAGGTTAGATCAGCTCATGAAATTAATTCTAAATTAGTCACAAACTAACGGAATGATAGATTTATATTTAACAAATGAATAAGTCAGTTATTTTTACTTGTAAGAAATTACAATTGATAGTATGCTCAGCTAAAGAATCAAACACAATGTTTTTGAGGCTGCAACTGTAATAATCACACCTTTCCCATTCTTATGATGCTCAGACTGCTGGTTACTAAACTTTAATTTCTGACGTTGAATTAATGTTTGAATTAGAAAAATAAGCTTGGGGATTATCTATTACAGCTAAGTTTAAATCTGATCAGTATTCAGTATGTAGGTAATTACGAAATTGGATAAACACTCTGATTTAGTGCCAACCAGAATTTTTTTTCATATTCACATTATAAAATTCACTGAACTTTGTCGATGAATGCTATAAAGGATAGTTCAATTACTTAAGATTCACTTAAACAAAGTAGAGAATTTCCGCATTATACAATTGAAATCATAGTTCGATCGATTATTGCACATAATCAATCATCTATCGATCACTAGTTAATTCAAATTCTCTTCATCTTATTTCTATAGTTATTTATCTCAACAACAAAAAAAGATAGCTGTGTTGGCAACGTTCAGTGATATTAAGAAAATGGACGAAAATTATAAAAATTTAAACCATAGAGCAAGACAACTTGTTCTAGCTACAACATTAATTCGTGATGCATGTGAAACAAGATTAGAAATAAATTTTAAACGAGATCTTTTATCTGTACAGTTGTATGAACATTACTATAGTAAATCATATGTTATACTATACTATATATTAACTCTAATTAATCTTTTAACAATCATATTAGAATATCCAGGAAATATATGGATAAATGGAAAACCTTTACCATATTATATTCCATTAATCATAAATTTATTATGTGAATGCTATTTTTATTATAGATGGTATATTATTTATGTTATATCAGAAAAGAAATCATTAAAATCAAATATTTCATTCATTGCAACAATTATTATATTATTACTAATGACAATTGATGCTATAATTTATATAATATGTCATGAATTAAATTTTTCTAATTCTATAAGATGGTCAAGAGCTCTTAGACCGATATTATTATTAACATTTCCAGAGAATAGAAGATTACGTGCAGCATTTTTTAATTTACGACGTACATTAATTGATGTATTACCTGTATTTGGTTTATTTGGTGCATGTTTAATATTTATTTCAATTGTTAGTTTAACATTATTAAATAATATGAAATTAACATATCCTAATGGTAATAAATATCTATATGATTTTATTGATGTATTATGGGAATTTTATGTTTTAACAACAACAGCTAATTCACCTGATATTATATTACCAGCATATGAATATAATCATTATTTTATAATGATTTATTTATTTATTTGTACAATATGTAATTGGTTATTTATGGGTATATTAACAGCATCTATATATAATTCATATAAATCACATTTAGGTGAATTTGTATTAAAAACAATTATAAAACGTAAAAAAAAATTAGATGAAGCATTCCATTTAATATCAATTATAACTTCAAATAAACAATTAGGTATTCATCAAAATATATTTTTACAATTAATGCATATTGTTAAACCAAATTATAATAAGGATTCATTAAAAATAATTTTTTATTTATTAAATAAAAATAAATCTGGTTATTTATTAAAACATGAATTTGAACGTTTAACAGAATATATGCAATTAAAATTTGAAATGATTGAATTCAATCGTTTCTATTTTAATGCATATATTTCAAAATTTTATTCTATTTATACATCATCGAAATTTCAATTATTTATTTATTATATGAATCATAATATTACTAAATTAATATTTATTATATTCATTATAATGAATGCAATATGTGTTATTATGTATCATTCAAATCCAAAATTATTAGAATTCATTGAATGGATATTTACAATAATATTTATAGTTGAATTAATTATTAATTATTTAATATGTGGTGGTGTTAAATTTTTTAATGATGGTTGGAATTTATTTGATTTTATTATTATATTTAGTGCATTAATTGGACAAATAATTCAATTTATATTCTATTCAATTAATATTTATTTATCACATGAAATTATACAAATATTTTTATTATTAAGATTATTTCGTTTATTAAAATTATTTAGTGTAATAAAACAATTTCGTATAGTGATTAATTGTATTTTAATTATTCTACCATCATTAACTGCTTATACAACTATATTATTAATATTATTTTATATATTTTCATGTATTGCTATGGAATTATTTGCATTTGTTTATCAACCACCATTAAATTATAATTATACATTAAATACAACTTGTAATAATAAATATTTACTGAATAGTGAATTTGTTAAATGGCATTATTGTACATTTAATTTTAATAGTCCATTAGATTCATTCTTATTATTATTTATTATTACAGTTGGTAATAATTGGCATATATTTACTGATGGTTATGTAATCGTTACAACAAGATGGAGTAAATTATTTTTTATTATAATTCATTGGATATGTGTATTACTTGTATTAAATGTTGTATTAGCTTTTATTATTGAAGCATTTCTAATTGAATATGATTCACAACAAAGTAAATTTGAATTATATATCAATGAACGATTAAATGATTTAGAAATGAATGCTGAAAATGAATTAAAAAAATGTGGATTAGAAAATTTTCGTAAACCTGGATTTATTATGTCTAAAAAATTATTAGATGAAGCTGGTATAACTGAACATAGTACAAAAAAAGTATTCTATTTAAAAACAGATAATACATCTATTGAAATATTAATGTTTAGAATGTTTGAAAAAGAAATTGAAGAATTAGTTGAAGATTTAACAAATAAATTAACAGTACCTAAACTTAAATCACATGATCCATTTTCACATATATAGTTTATTAACTTTAATGATTGAAAAAAAAAGCAGTGAAATCATACAATAATCAGAAATTAATATGATAAGAAACGATGGAGACAAGTTATATCTTCATATCAATTAAAAATAATAATAATAATAAATTTGAGAATTTTATTACACTATCATAGTTTGGTATTTCAGTTGAATTGAAGACAATTGTACACTTCATTCCTTCAGAGTTGATAATTCACTTTAAAATGTTTAAGTGATTGTAATGTTTACAGATATTCGAAGAAAAAAAGAAAGATTTAAACTCGAGATGTATGTTGTGATTGTTAGAATTTATATATTATAAAATTCAAAACAATCCCTTCAGGACGTTGATGTTAATACTGATTATTCAAAAAAAAATATTCAATTAACATTTTCCAGTTTCTACACAAGATTCTATGTTTATTCATTTACATTTAAATAGTTCAGTGTATTAATGAAATATTTGGTTAGTAATATTCATTTTAAAATACTCTGTAAAATGAAATGTATGTTGAAATTGTTATTGATTCTATTGTTATTCTTTTGATTGAATGAAATACATTTATTGAAAATAAATTTCGTCATGTTATAGAAAAAAATAATTCGTTATACCCAATATTGATTTTATTTTCGTATCTTTTACGACTACTCTTATAAATAATGACGAACCATAAAAACAAAGTTATGTGCTTCAGGAAATAAAACATCTTAATAACCAGGAGTAAGACCGTTAGATTCATCAAACTTGTCGTCTTCTTCTTATTCAGCAGTAGAATATATTTGACTGCCTAAATTTATTTACTAACTTATTATACCTTTACGTTATTCCTATCTTTTTTTACAAAAAGCATCAAATCATAAACTCAACAGCTATAAAAAGAGATTATTCTTTCTCAGACCAGTACTTCGGTGTTTTAAATTTACTTGTGAAAACGTAATACGTTTTCTTTTAAGTATTTCTGTAACGCCAGTAGGTTTTTGAAAATAAATAGACGGAATTCTCTGAGTTTGCTTTAAGAGACACCCCCCCCCACGTGAAAGTTGGATTTATGTAGACAGAAAAACGTGATCATATAATTTAATTTAAACTCTCATTCTACGTACAAAGCTACAAGTGTGGTGAACAAGAACATGAGTGGGGGAAATCGAGTGCATTTAAGCACGAAAGTACAGATCATCTCACTAAACTTGCAAAATATCAATCCATCGTCTCGAACTTGACTGTTTCTTTTGCAAATATCAGTCCATCGTCTCAGGTTTCATTGTTCGTGCATTTTCATACTAATTGCCTTCCGTTCCCGTTCTTTCCCTCTTGATATTCTACTGAAATACATTCTATTCCTGACTACTGTTATATACTACTTGCGTGGATATAAGTAGCTCACACTACACAAGTAGTTACTAGGTAATGAAAAATGTTTATCTCAGTCAAAGTAACAGATGTTATGTGGAGTCCCAAATAAAAGTTAAAAGACCTTAAAGAGTGGAATTTAGGTTGCAGGGTTACGAGGAATTGGATGAGAAGTATCCTAGTATTGTCAAGTTCCACACTTACTAAGGAAGAAGTATAGCTAATGTAGGAAAAGTTCTAAACACGTCCAGTAGTAATTACTAGGATATTAAATAGAAGATATTGAGCAGCATTTCTTTAATAACATTCTTAAACCTCTGGCTACAGAGTAACACTCACATTCTGTTGTCGCATGGTTTAGAACAATACGAATATGACACGGTATTTCAACTTCCTTGAATTCATAAATGACGTACCTAAAAGATTCTCGTTATTTCTACCAACGCCAGTCATTTGAAAAGCCTTATACTTTTCCTAATTTCAATTAATATAAGTTTCTTCGGAACAAAATAAACTTTATTAAAAATGAATATTGCAAGACAAGATAGTGATCAGATATTAAGATATTTACAATCATAACCTAAACAGATATCATCTTTTTTTCAGAGCTCATAAATTTTTATACGTATATTAAAAGGATATAACACTTTCTAACCAATTATAAATGGATTAATCACTATCTAGAATGAAACTGAAATAGCCAAATAAATAAAACCACTTGAAAACTATCACCTAACAGTACTACTTTTCCTAATAGTACAGAAGCTTAACTAAAAAAAGCAATGAGAACTAGTGAATAGTTCATAGTTTAAGAAGTTAGTGGTAAACATACGAAATTAATCTAAAAAATGTGAGTTCCAAGTCTGTTACGAAACAATGACGTTTCTATGACCTGTATTTAGCTGAACAATGTTTTTTTATCCCAGGTTTGATGAAAGCTTCTGTGAACAATGGTGGGGGCAATATTGAGAAAAGTGTTACATTCACTACTTAATTGTCACGGATATGCAAATTTTAGTAGAAAGCAACTAATATTCGTCGTTTAACAACTATATATTCACCTGTGGGACAAAACTGAAAAAATTGTCTAACTTAACGAAGCCATAAACCACCCAAGTAAAAGGAGGAAAAGCGTACTCGGCACACCACAACTGAATTACCTTTCTTGCATAGCGAAGTATGCTTAATATTATATGACAATACAATACATAGGAATACTTCAGAATCACCAATTAACACGACGGTTGCATGTAAAAAAGAACCTTAATAAGCGGACAGTTATTTGGCTTTAGTTTTAAAATGTATGTATTCGTATGTAAATGGTGACTAGGTCATGGTTAGTCTACACACCGCAACTTTTAAATTAATGGTTTGGACATCAACCAGCTGAGAAGCAAGAATCAAGCACCGATTGATCTTTAACGTGTGAGATACAATTGTCGATGCTAAAATCTTTAGGTTAGTATTTATTTGTTCGAATCCATTAACATTTGCTTACTTTGCAGTGATTCTTAAAAAAAACCGGAAATAAATATGAAGTGCAAAAAACCTGGCTATCAGACCAAAGCATTCTACATATGAGAACTCACGATGAAAACTAACGAAATAAAAAAAATTTGACTGTAATTTTTCATTGTATCTACAGGAAAGAACAGGTAAACTTATGTTATAGTCATAGATATCGGTATTGATAAAAGTATGAACAATATGTAATGGATATCGTAAATTAAGTAAGAATAACATTCAATTCAAAATATACAGTGTAAAGCTCCAAATACGAAAAATTAAAGTTTGACGGTTTCTCCAAAAAAATTATAATTGCATATACAGTTTCAAGCAAATTTAAATCCATTATTCATTACAATACCATCAAAATTAATGATAAAATTAGCTGACACATTAATAGATATGACCCAGTTGCAGAAGGACAATGTTCACATCTTTAAACTTTATTCTTTCATTTATTCTCCAGAAGAGTGAGACGTTGTTCCAAAAGTGAAACGGTCTATGAAGAAGTAAAGAAGAAAAAACTAATATTGCTTTTGGTTTTACATTGCCTCAGATAACAATTTATGCACTATAAACAATGCTTTCCGAGAAATCCAGTGTAATAAATTTACAGATAAGTAAAATATAAATATGAAGTAAGGATTCAACAGATATCAAATTACAAATAATTAGTAAAAAGACTAAAGTGCAATGACTTCTGCGAGTTTACAGGTCCAATATATTGATAAGTATTCACAAATGCACAATCTAAGCTCAAAATTTCTCGAATTATAAACATCAAAGACGGTCGATTAACAATAATGCTGAGTCACACACTAGATTAATAACGGATAACCAACATTTTATTATGTTATGGTCGATACAATTCTACTCTTGTTGTTTCTCACAAACCGAAATCTATCACAACAAGTTGTATGTGAATTGTTGGGGATGTTACATCCCCAGAACTCACTTGGTAAATGCATTAATTTTGTAATTTTATTTTGGAAATTTAATTTTCCTTGTTTTTGCGCCGAAAGCGCTCTTTTCACCTTCATGTCGTATTTCCCACTAGGGAGAATCTTTAATGCTATTGGTCCGTTGTGTATTTTTAGTAGGCTATTTTTGCAACGCTTCCCAAGGACAGTTTTACGCTGTATATATATATATATATATATATATATATATATATATATATATATATATATATATATATATACGTTTGATTTGTGTGTTATTATTCACTCGTGCTTCTGGCTTACAGAATATACTTTCCAGTTTCATGCTCGGACTTCTTCCTCTGGTTAGCGGGGCTGGGACGCATCAATAGCTAACTTATTGTTCAACGGTCACAAGTCTTTGTTCCGTTCGCATAACAAGTGAACTCGTAATAACTTCAAACCTAGCATGAATGAATATTAGTTTTCCAAAACAAAAACATCCACACATTAGGTACTTTCATATAAGTCAACATGTAGGGTGTTAGCTACAAGTAACAAAAGAAATCGTTGGAAAGCAAATTATTAGTTGGTGAGGAGTAATACGTCGGAAAATCTGTTATTAACGTGTTCATAAAACCACTACATTATAGGTCTTATATTTCATGATATATATTAACGGTTTATTTAGGCAATAATGAAATAGCTTAAGGGTTCAAAGAACGGAATTCCTACAGTTGAAGAACATATGAAATTCAAAACTGTCAACCAATATCACAGTCATAATCTTTAATACGAACGCCAAGACAGTTCTACTGTATGGAACTGAAACATGGAATACTACTACAACCACCATCAAAACGGTACAAGTATTTATACACAATTGTCTAAGCAAGATACTCAATGTCCATTGACCGGATACCATTTGCAACAGCCTACTATAACAGACAAAAAGCCAATTTCCAGATGAGGAGGAAATTAGGAAAAGAAGTCTCGAGTCGATAGGACATACATTGCGAAAATCACCGAATTGCATCACAAGGCGAGCGCTAACTTGGAATCCTGAAGGGAACAGGAAAAGAGGAAGACCAAGGAACACATTGAGCAGGGAATCGGAAGCAGACATCAGAAGAATGAATAGAAACTGGAAACAAGTGTAAAGGATTGCCCACAACAGAGTTGGATAGAGAATGCTGGTGAGCGGTCTATGCTCCTCCATGAGGAGTAATAGGCGTAAGTAAGGAAGTTAAGGATTCAACAAAACCTTATAAATGGTCAATCCAATTACTTATACTTACCATTACAACTACCTTATGGTTGTGACGCACATCGGTGACCTCAGTGTATCAATCGGAAATGTATTTTAGTTAATCGACTACACATCAATTACGGTGATTAGAAATTACGGACTGAGTACTTGTCAGTAAACAAAAAATACTAAGATTTGTTAAAAATATATAAGCCAATTTCACACAAAATAATTTGCTATAACGAAATTCATCGACATTGGTTGCCTTTCGCAAAAGCTTTATTTGAGGATTGCATATCCTCAACAAGTGGGTTTGAAATATTTTGTGAATCTCACTACAGTGGCTTTCACATTACGCATTATTCGCAGATGCTAAAACTAGGTGGAACGGAAGAGAGGTAGTCAGTTTATGACATGTCACTGTAGTATGGAAGGTGGCACGCAGAACTGATACCTGTTGGTCCACCACGATTTTTGGTTTGTGATCCTACAGATCGTGCAACTCAATGGTTTGAGATGTTATCATATATATTTCAAAACAGAAGTCAGTGATAATCCTGCTTTAGTTTTTTACTACATCTTTTATAAAAGTAAGTTTGGATTAGTGCTCAAATAAAGCATCCTCTAAGTAAATTGTAACATACGATAACAATTCTGAAAAAAAAATACAGTGAGTGGTTGAGTACTATCCTCAATAAACTAAGTCATAAGTGCAGGATGAAACTTCTCCCACTTAAGCAGTACATACCTGACATTTAGCAAGGTAAGGTGCGTAAGATAGGCGCTAACCAATCTGGTTTTTGCTATACTGATAGGACCTTTCTCAGTCATGCACCCGGTAACACTCATACAGCTATCTAGATTTACCAGATTTTTAATTGTTAGGAAAAAGTATTTGGGAATTTAGTTATATAAAGTAAAGTATGTAGAGCGTACAATCCTTAGCATGAAAACCCTTTAGTTTTATAGGTAAATGGTTCTCCTCCTCGAAATCATGGAATAGCAACGACATACAAATCAGTATCGCTTACTGAACAATACTTTAGACTGAAAAACAAGAGTTTATTAAAATCACCATGTAAAATTGATAGTACCTGAGTTAAAATATCTAGTTGTGAAACAATATGTTCAAGTGTTGTAGATAGTGGTGGTGGGACATTTTGGCGTTCACTTTCTAGACCACTTGCTGTTTTCGAATTCTGTATACAAATGGAAAAGTGATACGTTACAACTTACTTCGTAGTTTATAAGCTGTGGTTTAAATAATTATTAATGTTCAGATTATGTTAAAAATCAAGATTTAATTAGAATGAGAGGCAAGTAGTCACTGTATTGTTGAATACTATCACTAACAAAACCAACAACAGTATTTAAACAAGCTTAGTGATGCACGGAAATCATATGAAATTATTGTTTAAAAAATGGAAAAAAATTAAAATGATAACGATAAACATATCCACTTAGATTCTCTTTACTGAACGATAATTATGATGTATCCTTTGATTTCTTCAATATTTTTCTGATAGTCGTTTGAAATACAGTTTCCTGGGTGTTGAAGAATAACTACTTAGCATCAGAGTTCATGATAACAAGCACAACACATTATGTCCTAATTTTTGCGACTTTCTTAATTAAATTACTAACTGCTTATATTTGCTGATTTTTAAAAGACGAAAAATAGCCGTATAGACTTCTCCAGATGTAAAAGTGCAGCAACATAATGCATGATTTGATCTATACTTTCCAGGTGTAGCATTACTTACTTGAAGCATATTCTTGAATAACTATTGGTTATTGAATAATAAATCACTGGTATAATTATTTCTCACTGAAAGTAGTGTTTAGATGTTTACGAACATCTTGAATCGTGTTGTGAAATTGACTTACAAATTATGCACTCAACTACTTCCAATAAAAAGGCTATCAGCCAGCTTGTTCCAAAGTGAGAGATTAGATCAATTCACGCATAGGGAAACCCAAGGAAACTTATGCTAATCTGGGCTATCTTTGGCGCCTTTGTGATGTTAGCCTGGCTGTAAAAGGTCCAATATACAACGCATCGGCGAGAACAGTTTTGCTCTATTCTTTTAAAACCTGACCTCTTCGAGTTGACGATGTTGAACGACTTTCTGTGTTAGGTCGCCGTTGTTTCTAAAGGATTGCTGACATCCAGTGGCAACACAATGTTAGTAATGCACAGGTTCGGCACCGTGTATTCGCGCACAGCAACGATAATTCAGCTGATGTCACCATCTTGAAATATCGACTTCCGCGGCTTGGACCCGTACTACAAATGTCGTCCCATAGAATTCCACGTCGTGTATTGTTTGCAAACGCTGGGACCGGCTGGAAAGAGTAGAGAGATGGTCAGTGTCGGACATGTTATCGTAGTATGAAAGAAAGCTGTATAGGACAGGCCTCTGTTGGTCCTTCACGACTCCTTGGTTGGGGTCCTAGAGGTGGTGTAGCACATTGGCTAGAGACCTCATCAGACATGGCTTAGAATAGAAGACAGTAGCGATCCTGTTCTCACTTTATTTTACTTTATAAAAGTAAACATAACTTTTTTCGGGTCGTGTTTTTCCCCACTGAACTGCTTCTCCTATTATTATTATTATTATTATTCTCTCAAACATTGATTTCTGTTGGTTGTTGTTCTCATCATACGCACTTTACATTCTCTATCTCTTCACAACCTTATTGTTATTGTGTGAGCATATGTATTTGGTGCCCTCTTGTACCAAAGTTTTTATTCAAATAAATAAACGGATAAACTAACTAACTGGTTGGGAATAAATTAAAAATGGTCAATTGTATAACACCCAATGGGTAAAATGAAAGCTTATGATAAAAAGAATATGGATATATATAATCTAGTTATTCAGTAATCATGCAATAAGAAAATATGTAATAATAGTCCATAAATAGTTCCTGGTAGTTACCATTCATTTATTACGCGTTCAGGTATAATAGATATGATTGTTATTTATCACTGGTTTCTTGATACGTAAGAAAAACCAAACTGCAGTAAACTTCGGAACAATCGTCTTGATATAGTAAATAATGAAAACGACAATAAATACTGATGCAAACTAGTTTTATCCATACATTTACCTAGTAAACTAAAGTTTATTATGTGGGTCTCGATCATCAAACTACACGAAATGAATTAATTCAGTAGTCAAAGTTTTTTGGGATCGTTTGGATAAAATTTGCTTTATCGAAGAAGTAAACGCAGTTTAATTATGAACCATCTTTTTTCTAAACTCCGCCTGTAGCTCTTATAGGGTTGCTGCCGGTCCCAAGCCCGGGTAAAGGAGGAGGGTTGGGCATGGGGTTAGCGTCCCCATCCCGTAGAAAACTAACTCGCTAAAAAAACGCTTACCAGAAAAAATAATCCAAACCATTTTAACCCTGCCCTGGGAGTTAGAAGGTCTTCATTTAGAAGAATTATGACGCTTCATGGTGAAAGCCGAGTTCCTTCGGAAGCCGTGAGGCCGATGCCCCTTCTAACAACCAGAGCAAAAATTTTTATAGGTACATGGAACGTTCGAACAATGTGGGAAACCGGGAAGACCAGTCAAATATCAATGGAAATGAGGAGATACAACTTAGCAGTACTGGGAATCAGCGAAACCCACTGGACCCAAGCTGGACAGAAAAGGCTAGCTACGGGAGAGATGCTGCTATACTCCGGTCACGAAGAGGACAAAGTAGCACGAAATGCACTTGTAGGATGGGAATCTCACGGATCCAGAATCATCAAAGCATCATTCAAAACAAAGGAGGGGATCTTAATGAATATTATCCAATGTTATGCACCCACCAATGATAGCAACGACGAAATTAAAGATCAGTTCTACGAGCAGCTGCAGTCAATCATTGAGAAATGCCCAAGAAAGGACCTAACTATTCTGATGGGAGATCTAAATGCCAAAGTCGGAATAGACAACACTGGATATGAAGATATTATGGGACGACATGGACTGGGAGAAAGAAACGAAAATGGAGAAAGATTTGCAAATCTATGTGCATTCAACAAATTGGTCATAGGAGGCACAATATTTCCACACAAGAGTATACACAAGGCTACATGGATCTCACCGGACCACACTACAGAGAACCAAATAGATCATATTTGCATCAACAAAAAATTCCGAAGGACAATGGAAGATGTGAGAACCAGGAGAGGTGCTGACGTAGCTTCAGATCACCACCTAGTTGTAGCCAATGTAAAACTGAAGCTAAAAAAGAACTGGACAAGTGGACAAACAGCAATACAAAGGTTTAATACAGCCTTCCTTCGACATACTGACAAACTCAATGAATTCAAGATAGCTCTCAACAACATGTTCCAAGCCTTACAAGATCTACTGAAAGAAGAAACTACTATGGAGGACAACTGGAAAGGCATCAAGGAAGCATTAACTTCAACGTGTCAAGAGGTTCTCGGTCTAAAGAAACACCATCATAAGGAATGGATCTCTATAGAAACACTGGACAAGATCAAAGAAAGGAAGAACAAGAAGGCAGTAATAAACAACAGCCGAACACGAGCAGAGAAAGTCCAAGCACAAGCTGAATACATAGAAGCAAACAAACAAGTGAAGAGGAGCACTAGAGCCGACAAGAAGAAATACGTGGAAGAACTAGCAACGACGGCAGAAAAAGCTGCTAGAGAAGGAAATATGAAACAGCTTCACGATACAACGAAGAAACTAGCAGGGAAATACAGTAAACCAAAGAGGCCGGTCAAAGACAAAGAAGGCAAGTCAATCACCGAAATTCAACAACAGCGGGAAAGATGGGAAGAGTACTTCGAGGAACTCCTGAATAGGCCGGCTCCAATGAATCCACCGGAAATCGAAGCACCACACATAGATCTTCCTATAGATGTCAATCCACCAACTACGGAAGAAATTAGAATGGCCGTCAGACAAATCAAGAACGGGAAAGCAGCAGGACCCGACAACATACCAGCTGAAGCACTGAAATCAGACATCGAAGCAACCACAAGCATGCTTTATCTTCTATTCAAAAAGATTTGGGAGGAGGAACAAGTGCCGATGGACTGGAAAGAGGGACACCTCGTCAAGATTCCAAAGAAAGGAGATCTGAGCAAATGTGAAAACTACAGAGGCATTACACTACTGTCAATACCAGGGAAAGTCTTCAACAGAGTGTTGCTGAACCGGATGAAGGATGCAGTAGACGCCCAACTTCGAGATCAACAAGCTGGATTCCGTAAGGATCGGTCGTGCACGGACCAAATTGCAACACTACGGATCATCGTCGAACAATCAGTTGAGTGGAACTCATCATTATACATCAACTTCATTGATTATGAAAAGGCATTCGACAGTGTAGATAGGAGGACATTATGGAAACTTCTTCGACACTACGGAGTTCCTGAGAAGATTGTCAATATTATCCGGAACTCATACGACGGACTACAGTGCAAAGTAGTGCATGGAGGACAGCTGACAGATGCATTCCAAGTAAGGACCGGAGTCAGACAAGGCTGTTTACTCTCTCCCTTCCTTTTTCTTCTGGTGGTCGACTGGATTATGAAGACCTCAACATCTGAAGGAAAACACGGAATACAATGGACAGCTCAGAATCAATTAGACGATTTGGACTTCGCAGATGACCTAGCCCTCCTATCACGTACACACGAACAGATGCAGATGAAGACAGCCAGTGTAGCAGCAGTCTCTGCATCAGTAGGCCTCAGCATACACAAAGGGAAAACTAAGGTCCTCAAATTCAAAGCGGAGAACAGCAATCCAATCACACTTGATGGCGAAACTCTGGAAGATGTAGAATCCTTCACATATCTGGGAAGCATCATCAATGAACAAGGAGGCTCAGATGCAGACGTAAAGGCGAGGATCGGCAAAGCAAGGGTCGCATTCCTACAATTGAAGAACATATGGAACTCAAACACCTTTCAACCAATATCAAAGTGAGAATCTCCAATACGAACGTCAAGGCAGTTCTACTGCATGGAGCTGAAACATGGAGAACTACAACAACCATCATCAAGAAGGTACAAGTATTTATAAATAGCTGTCTTCGCAAGATACTCAACATCCATTGGCCGGATACCATCAGCAATAGCCTTCTGTGGAAGAGAACAAACCAGCTTCCAGTTGAGGAGGAAATTAGGAAAAGACGATGGAAATGGATAGGACATAGATTACGGGAATCACCAAGCTGCATCACGAGGCAAGCCGTAACTTGGAATCCTGAAGGGAAGCGAAAAAGAGGAAGGCTAAAGAACATATTGCGTCGGATAATAGAAGCAGATATGAAAACGATGAATTACAACTGGACGGAGCTAGAAAGGATTCCCCAGGACAGGGTTGGATGGAGAATGCTGGTGAGCGGCCTATGCTCCTTCACGAGGAGTAACAGGCGTAAGTATGTAAGTAAGATCTTTTTTCTAGCCAAGTAGAGATGAAACTCGGGCGAATTACTCATGACTTTATTACAGTGAACAGAGATCAGAAACATTTGCTAATAAAAGATTAATTTTGGAAAATGGACTTACAGCTTGTAGAAAATTCATATTTGACGTTAATGGTAAAGTCATTGATGAGATAACACCAGAGTGGGTACGGAAATCAGGCGGAAAATGACACTTAACGGAAGTAGTCGGGTTCTGTGCTCCACTGTTAGTAGTTTCATGAAAGTCGACAGCAGCTTCAGAAGTAGCGAGTGATGGTTTTTCCGCTTTTTCATGCACTTCACTTGACGTTACTTGAGGATCAGATTTAGGACATATAAGATGACTATTAATTTGAATAGATTTGTCACGAGATTTGGAACCATCAGGATTAGAAGTTGTGTGAATTGGATGTGAACTGTTGTCTGGAATATTAGTAGTCATTCTAGCACACCCATTCGTGCGCCATAAAAACACCTGAAATAAATTTTAAAAATCGTTTACAGGATCCTACGCTGATATGAAGTCGTGAAAAGTTTTTAAATTACAGTTAACTAAGCGCTATTTAAATCGTAAGTAGAGAGAGTACCAACTGCAAAAAGACTACCACAAAACAGTATGAAGCATAAAAAAGAATGGTGCGACTGTGTTACGTACGTTTTTGAATACCACTTCAATAGCAGGGGCTTCATTGATCGGAAAAACATGTAACAAATAAATTCCTACTAACGTATTTCCATTTGCTTCCTTTAAAAACTGATTGTCAAGAAAACAAATGAATGTCTAACAGATAATGGATAAATTTAAGTATGGTAGCAAAGTTAGTATGATTTTTTAATCTACGGCTTACCTGTTCATCACTCCCACCAGATGCAAAATGATCACCAGACGCAGAAAATGCTGCTGCAGTAATAGGTCCCTGATGTCCCTGAAGTGTAAAAAGTGGACGACCCTCAAGGAGGTCAAATATTTTCAGTGTTGAGTCTTCAGATGCAGAGAGCAGAACATGACCATTGGGATGACAAGCAACTTTATGTACTGGACCGGTATGATCTAAAATCATATGAAATCCGCATAAAGTAAATCCAAAAGCAAACAAATTAGAATGAAACAAATATGAGAAATATTACATAAAGGACTAATGACCAAGATATTACATATTTGCGTCACAAACACTTCTATGTGTAATTCTTCCTCAATTATTTAATCAATTAGTGTAATTTATGTATTAGATACAGGAGCACGTCAGTCAGCTACAATGTAGGACCAGGCACATATGTGCATCGGTCCAAGTTGCCATACCTCATTAGCACAAGATGAACGCCGGGTTCAAAGAAGTACGTATACAGCTTTGTGTAATAATTTTTGTGAGAATTAGTGATTTTGTCCAGATATATAAGATGAAGTAGAGTTTGAGTGTACAGCCTTATGGTTAAGAGCCGGGTATCTTTACCTCCAATCCACTCCCCCAACATATTTTACCCTCATAAATCTACATTTTACTTAGACTTTCTCGTCAACTTAGCGAGCATATGCCAATGTGCTGTTCGGTGAGGAAGCTAGCTAACAATTTTCAGAACTTTTAACGAAGAGGAGTCTTGAGAAAGTTGTTGTTCACCTACTGTTAATCGTACTTTATTCCCACACTAAGATATTTTGAAGGTAGCCTTAGTGAAACTATCGCATGACAAGAACTATGGTAAAGAAAATTTTACAACAGTTTCTCTAACATCCAGAGATTTCGCTAACCTGGTTAAAGAGTTTGGTAAGATGAAAAGCTACTTACCATCATAATGTTGAAGTAGACGGTTCATCCTTAAGTCCCAAAGCTTAACTGTGCAATTCGTACTTCCCGATGCAAAGCAGTTCCCATTTGGGTGAAAGTCCAGATGTGAAGCAAAGCCACCAGCTTCTTGGAAGGTATGTACACAACCTTGCGTCTCAGTGTCCCATAACTTAATAGTTTTATCATCTGATGAAGATATGATAAGGCGTGAGTCAGGTGAAAAACTGGCTAAATAAGATGGGCCGTGACCTACCGACAGCACCTCACCCAATTCACATGTTGGTTTAAAGAGAACAAGAACTTTTGTCTATGTAAACTCCAAACCTATATATTAAAAAAAAAATTTATGGACCTACTTTTACCGACTTGTCTGATGAAGCTGTACACATCCTTGAGTCATCAGCGGACACATCAACCCACCGAACTGCTGCAGTATGGGCGCGAAAGGTGATGGACTCTCCTTTTCTAAATTCTGTTACTTTAAAACGTCTTATTTTACATGCTCGGAATCCATAATTTTACTGTCTTATCCCTAGAAGCAGTTAGTATAAGTTCACCAGTCGGTGAGAATCGAACGCAGAATATAGCGTCTTTGTGGCCACTAAACTTATATGCTCGCGTCTGTGGCTTAATGTTCCAAATCATTAAACATGCATCCATAGAGCAGGAAGCTAATAATGAGCACTAAACGAAACGGACTTTACCTAGCTGCTTTCCAGTTGGGTTGAAGTCGACACATGTGATGGAGTCTTTGTGTCCTTTAAAATGGATTTGTAATGATGGATCTTCCTACAAGTTGCTATTCGGATGAAAATCTAAACATACCATAGGCCACGAACAACAAACAAAATCAAAACCCCGCGTAGCTAAGGTTGGTCGCAACACAAATACTTTGGAACTCATACTAACAAGATACAGATGTGTGTAGTAAGGAAAAAAGGCCGATGACTTGTGTTAGTCCTTTTCTAGCAAACTTCTGTAAGTGTCTATTTTTTTCTCGGATGAGTCAGTTGAAGGGGCGGACACTTCTGCTTCGGGTTACAAGTTCCAAGGATTGATGACTCAGTGTGAAATCCTGTATATCACGGGTGTTTTGTTCATTGTTTGCATTCCTACTGATATGACCCTTGAGTTGTTCTGATCTGATAGGAAGAAAAGTAGAGGATATGTCAGGTTCAAATTTACATTATTTAAATCATGTTCTAGTATTCATTAGATCAAAACCATACCACTTCTTCAAATGGTCGTGGATGGAATCGAAGAAGCTTTCACTTAACAGGCTTCCGTGTGCAGTAGCAGGGGATCATCAATATCTCCAGGCAGGAACCTAGGTATATTAACGATAAAAAAGGAAAAACAGAAGTTGGTAGATCATAATAAGATGTTATTCTTAGTCCTTTAGAATAGATCAAGTTGCCTCCTAAAGAACCCATGGGAAGTCGCTTGGACTAGCTCGGATGGCAGCGAATTCCAGCATTTGACAACTCTTAAGGAGTAGAAGTTGTGTCTACAGTCCGTTCTGCTATGGTATGTCTCCAGTTTATGGGTGTTACCTCTTAGGTTAGTGTTGGAACTAAGCTTAAGTAGGTGTTTAAGGGGATGTCCAGAAGTGTCAAGGATACTGTAAGCCGTCAGAAAGTCACCTGTAAAGCGCCTATAGTCTAATGGGTAAAGGTTTAGTGATTGGAGGCGCTCTTCATAAGGCTTGAATTTGAGTCCCTGAACTAGCTTCGTGGCTCACCTTTGGATACCCTCTAGAGTGTCCTTATCCTTTAGGAGTGAGGGAAAAAATACTGTTTCCGTACTCTAAATGCGGACGAATAGAACTGTTGGGAAGTATGTGGAAAGTTCTTCCATCGGACTGGCCGAAAATGCGCTCTAACACAACCAGTGCAAGGTTTGCGCGAAAGGCATTTGTGTAGCAGTTAGCGTAAGACTTTAAATCGTACGGCACCAGTACTCCCACATCTTTTTCGACTCGGGATACTACTAGAGAGGAGTTTCTTATGTTGTAGATTTTGTAGATTTTGGGAACCATTTGAGGTACAGACTACTTTGTAGTACATAAGAGCGTGTGCAGAAAGAAATCCCAATCAACATTCACATCATGTTGAGGGTGAACATCCCAATCCACCTTTTGTAAATAGTCCTGTAAAGCTGACACATTCAACCGTTTGAAATTCCAGCGCCTGTTGTTGGTGGGATGTCTTAGCTCAGTTTTGCTGATAAAACTGAAAGCTATGACGGCGTGATCGATTTTCCTCAGGGGAACCACGATTGAGAGGTTGTCAACTAGGAAGTCTTCCTTTGTAAATATCCAGTCTAAGTGCGACGGCGTCTGACTGTTTCTTCAACGAGTTGGCAAATTCACAATTTCGAATAATCCCAAATTTTCAATGAAGTTGATAAACAAAGCTTCAGTTGAGTTTTCATCTCTAATATACGTATGTTCTGCGAAATTTACTGTAGGAAGATTGAAGTCCTCTAGAATCAGGATATGAGTGAATCCGAGACACGTAGAGCGGGGTAATCCTTCCAGTATAAGATTGTCGTACTCGATGTTAGCGGTAGGCTTCCTGTAGATGACTCCAACTAGACACTTAGAGGTGGTAGACAATCCTACTGAGCACCATACGGATTCATCAGGATTCATAAACTTTTCGTGCCTCTATGTAACCCTCGTGCTATTGATAGAAGAAACCAGACACGTAGTGAATAGGTCTTTATTTAGATACTCGCGCAGTCACAGTGGAGCGTGAGATTATTTGTTCAGACGAACAAGACCTCTCAACATTCAATATAAGATAATAGGAAATATAGCGCCTATACAAAATAAGGAAGTGAATGAATACTTGAACTATACTGTTTTGACATATGCTTAGTTGTTTGAGGTGAACTCTTAACCAATCAACCTAAGCTGTTACAAACTCTTGGCTGTGCACTTGATGTACATCCAGGCATGATCGTAAGTATAAGGCTACTCCATCCCGGATTCGGTTTTTCTGTCATTGCGAAACAAAGACATCCTGGGTATTGCTAGTTCCTGGTCCGTAAATTGAGAAGATATCCAATTTTCAGATATTCCTATCAGATGAGTATTATTAGCGTTGCTGAGTCCACGTACCTTTTCCATTTTATTTGGTAAACTCGCGGCGTTCACGTACAGGCAGTTTATGTTTTCAATTTGGAACGCGTGAGATTCCCCTTCCAGTTTGTTTGTATGAGCCTTACGTGAATGGACAGGTACCCTACCTACACAAGGTTTTCCGAGTTGACAGCCCGCGTCATTCACACGTTTTATTATGATCAATACAGTCCGCAAGTGGAATGGTCAGCTCCAACTTGATTTTGTGCTTGATCCTAGCGTCATATGGCCTATACGGATGCATATGGATTCCAGTCGACAACCGACGTCTGTCGGTACGAAATGCTTCCAGAGTTGCAGCCGTCATGTGGGAGGATAGGAAAGTTATCCTCATTAGCCGGAGTCTGGGATATGCTTTAAGTATTTGAAGTTTGACAACGGTTTAACCAATAACATCTTCTGATATGAATCCTGCCCATCTAGTGAAATCAAAGGTCAGAAGCGAGGAGGTTCGAAGATATATTGGATAGGCTATCAATATATCAAGAATCAACTGATCTAAGCTGGCTAGTGATTGCAGGCGGGGGGTTGAGAACGGCGTTCTCACTCGCGATCTGGTGCCGATGCATGACCGAGCGTCTTCAGCTAATTGATTCAATTAAAACTAATGTCGTCAGAATCCAGTGTCAAAGATTACAGAAGTGTTGGTTTCGGGCATTTAATAACAGCTACATCACCCTTTCTTATGTTAAAGTGGTCCGAATGGTTGCGAACGGAATAGAAGCTTTTGCTTAATGTGATTTGATACTAATAGATTGCCAACTCACAGCCATCAGTTGGTGAAAATGCAATATAGGCTTGAGGCTTATGCATTTGGTCCCTATCAAGTACGCTAAGCTGCAATTTTGGACAGGTCAAATTGTGCCATCAAGCCCTAGTGTCTGTATCCAGTTTGTAATTACTAGCCAAGAGCAGAGTAGGAACATCGAAGCCACATAGTAGTAATATAGCATTATTTCGATTTCAAAATATATGCCATTCGATCAACCCCAAATTCATTCCATACATTCTTTCCGCTTCTCCATTGTTAGGTATTTCTCCGCGTTAAATATTGAATATCCATTTTTTGAGTTGTATCGTGTTCAGCTTTGTGGATTGTGTGGTTACGGTCCAATGCCACTACAAACTTTCTACTCCTCCCAACCTTCTACTACCGAACATTCCACTTTTCATCGGTGTTATATGCTACTTATCCCGACATAAGTAGCATGAACTACAGTATTTATGTAAACATGCATGGTTTAATTTCTGAGACAAGCATATCCAATATACTAAAGGTGGAAGGAATACAACGAGACTTCAACCGCAAAATACTTAAGACTGACTCAGTCATTGACCGCAGTTCCCGATGCCAAATCTTAAGAGTAACACCCCTTTGGAAGGGATGGCTTAAGTCTAATTTGATTCTCTACTTCAGACTACTCAAGAACCTTACTCATTCAACATGTGAGATAGTTCTTGCTAGAGATTCACATGAATACGAACTTCGAAACAAAGTATCTACCGTCAAAGTTGAGAAATACAGATCAAAAACTCGGGAAAACGTCTTCCTCATCAAGTATGCAATAATATGGAACAGTCTTCCCTCCGAAATACGCATGGCAGGTGAATTACATACATTTGTAAAACTGCTTGATCAAGCCGCCACTAGCACTTACGAACACATTTGCGCCTCACTCAGACATCGTAGGCTCTCTACGTGTCTAGACCAAAACGGACTTCAAGTTCAGTTTGCCTTATTTTTCCCACTTTGAAGTTGTATTAGTTACATTTTCCACCCTATTTCTTCACTTGAAGTAGACAGGTAGCTCACTGGACCTATCGATACTGTTCATCTAAACTCGGCCGCTAAGGAACACTCACTACCCCCTAAAAATTCAAGGGGACCGCACAGTCGACTGCCGACTACCGCTGGTCTTGCAACTATGGAGCCTGTTCCCAATCAACTGGTTGGGACAACACAAAATAACATCAGCACCAAGTTAGTGTGAGTTTCTTCCTGTTTGTTCTTTATTAGCTTTTTACTCTTCTGTGCACTATGTTGACTAGCAATTAATATTATTTCTCCACTCTTTACCTTATCTACAACTCGTATACTTGTGTACTTTACGCCTGCTTTAATAAACAACCATCCTACATTACACCCTTCTTAATGCTTATACTCTGATTGGCAAACTATACTTTATACTATAGTCAACAAAAGCACTGCATCGGTGCCTTACCCACAGTCCATAACTTGTAACTGTCTGATAAGCTTGTAAAGTGGTACTTATAGAAATAGTGTTTTCCAACAGGATGTGAAACACAGATGACTGTGTGAGGTATGACATATATCCAAAAATAAGCTTCAATGAGCCTAACATCACAAAAGGAGGGAGGGTAAAGTTACTGATCAGCAAGCATTGATGGTGAGGGCAATGACTTCAATCCACCCATATTTGTGGGGCAGAACATTTTGTATGTATCAGGCTCTTTATGATTGAGAATAAGACAGTCAATCTGAGATATAGATTGTCTTCCTGGGCTCACCATTCAGACTCATGTTCCCAATTTTATGCTGGACTAGCTATTCTATTGAGGCAACCTATAACATTTTAACTCGGGCTTTTGCACTAGGATTGTGTGGCTGGCATCGGATGGACAAAAAATAAAAGATGTTAGATGATAAAACATATAGTCATTA